TAATAGTGACAGATGGCATTGATTGTAGAGAAATTTATATCTGAGGACGTAATAGCGATAGACGACAATGATTGTGGAGAAATCTCCATCTACCAGGTGCTGGTGGAAGGCTGCCATTCATAAATTAATTCACATTTTAAGTTTCTAGTAATAGCTAGACAAGATTTTGTACAAGCTGAGGGGTTCCCAGCTGGTAAGGGCTTCTTCAGAAGCAAACCTCAAGTGGCTACAGTTGTATGCTCTGTTCCACCGGTTGTATTTCAGTCCAGCTGAACAGGTTCCCTGACTCGAGCCATGATTTTGATCCCGTCTGAACAACCCATCTCTAATTCCAGACTCAAGCCAATCTCCCCTGAGCCCCAAGAAAGAATCCACCCACTCAGTTTCCTGTTGTTAGAGCCTGCATTAGCTCTTACCTCAGAGTGGAAGGCCTGTCTCTATACGAATCAGATCCTTCCCAAGCTTGAGAAGTTACTTCATTTGTCTTTCAGGGCTAGCAGTCAAAAGCATAGCAACAAAGCACAGGAAGGCAGAGGGAGATGGAGGGGAGAGGAGGGGAATGGGGGGGGGAAGAAAAGAGAGAGAGAGAGAGAGAGAGAGAGAGAGAGAGAGAGAGAGAGAGAGAAACATGGTTGGGTTGGTAATTTTTTCTGCAGGAGAGTAGCTAACTGGAAAAATAGGAGGGTTGAACCTTAAATACTTCATCCAGGTCAAGGTATCCCGCAGCCATGACTCTCAAAGAGAAGATGATGAGCCCTAAGTCTGCTGGGAGGAGAGCTAAACCTCAAGGCAGCCATGATCTCAGCAGGAAAGTCCTTGACATATTTTGACACTCAGGTGCAGATCTAGCAGCACACATAATGTAGGTGTATAGATGCTTGCCCTCTACCCCACTTCTCCAGTGTAGCAGTGGTTTCTGCCTTTGTGGCTGCATCCTTGAGATTACATTTGATCACACTGGGCAACCTTGTCGGGAGTCATAGCTTTGCTTTGCAGGAATGACATGGTTTCCCTTGGTTACCACACAGAGACTGATCAAAGCACTGTTCTCTGCAAAGGAAGGAACTTGGCAGACTTTAGCCCCAAACCGAGGTTCGCTCTTTCCTATACAATACAATAAAATAAAATAAAAACGACAAGCCTAGGTTTCCTTTCATGTGACTGATGAGTCCAGTGATTTGGGGTGTGCTGTTTAATCCCATAGCTTCAGGCTCTTCATTTAAACATGGAGATAATAGCGATATCCTTTTCATATGGTTGTAGTGATGAACTGAGACAATGCATGTGGCCCAGAACCTGTCATAAAGAACTCCTCAACAAATCAAATCTAGTATTTTCAGTTGCTCTATGGGCTCCAGTTTCTGGTCTGGAAAGAGTGAACATAATAATCAACTTCCTAACATGGCTATAAGAACTGAAGAGTTAAACCTATGTCTAGCATACACCTCACCTGCCTCCTAACAGTGTGAGAAATACTGTATATACCTGTAGAAGGAGCTGCGGGCTGCATTTCTGCCACCTAGCTCCAGGCCACCTGGCTAGCTTAACAACTGAAATAACAATACACAAACTGTATTCATTTAAACACCGCCTGACCCATTATCTCTAGCCTCTTCTTGGCTAACTCTCATATCTTGCTTAACCCATTTCTAATAATCTGTGTAGCATCACGAGGTGGTGTCTTACTGGGAAAGATTCAGCATGTCTGACCTGGCGGCTGGCTCCATCGTGTCTCTGACCTCACTTCCCTTCTTCCCAGCATTCTGTTCTGTCTACTCCACCTACCTAAGGGCTGGCCTATCAAATGGCCAAGGCAGTTTCTTTATTAACCAATGAAATAAACACAAAACCCCGAGTTTTACAGATTTTATTAAAGTCTCTAACTATCTAACTTTCGGAGGATTTCATCTCAGTTGTATTTTATGGATTCCTGTCTGTTTTCTGTTCCCCAACTTAGGGTCTTGCAAATGTCTCTGGCCATCTGGGCAGAATCTATTGTCTTCTGACAGGGCTGGCTGATATGTACTTGGTTAAAACTTACACACTTTGAGGGGGTGCACTCTTATTCTCTGGTGCTTCATGATGCTGTGGTCGTTCTCCAGGCTCCAAAAGACTCAATCTTGAGCTCTTCCTATTCTGTACCCTCTGTGACAGTGAAGTCCAAGGTTTTTCCTCCCAGGAGATTATAATAGGCAGAAATTTGTCTGTTACTACTTTTGTCTTCTGAATATGGCAACGGGAACTTTGCAGGTGTAATTAAAATTAATATCTGGCTTACCTTGAAACAGAGAAATCATTCTGCATTATTCAGGCTGATTTGGCCTAATCTGATGGGGCCCCATGAAGAAGAGCCTGTTTTGAAATATTTAACTATATAAAGGTGTTACATTTGTTTAATTATGAAAAGATTTGTGCATTTGTTTAATTATGTAAAGATTGCTGCTGTTTCTTCTTGCCTGCCTAAGGCATCTGATTGGTCTAATAAAAAGTCGAATGACAAATAAATAGGTGGGGTGGGAGAGGGAAGGCTGGGGGACAGAGAGAATAAGTAGAAGAAATCTAGGCTAAAGAAGAGGGAAAAAGAAAAGAATGAGGGAAAAAGAGAGAGACATGCCTGGGGCCAGAAGCCAGCCAGCCAGCCAGCCAGCCACAGAACAGTTATACAGAAAGAAAGGTTTAAATAAAAAAACCCGAGGCAAAACGTAAAGAGAAACATTAAAATAAGAACTAAGATAAAGCCAGGCATTCATAATGAACAAATCTCCATGTCATGATTTGGGAGCTGGTTTGTGGCCCAAAATAAAAGCCTGGTACAAGAGCCTTTCCCTTGCTTTGCTTCTAGAAGTGGTATTGGTCTTTTTTTTGGGGGGGGGGGGTGGGGGATGGTGTTTAAAGGAGAAATGTATCAAAAAACTAGAGAGCTAAGTCCTATAGTCCAGATGGATAAATTCTGCCGATAGCTGGAATGAATCCGGAAGCAGATTCTTCCCCAAAGCCTGCAGCTAAGAGCCCAGCCCAGCGGCCATTTGAAGAGAGCCTCGATTTGAGTCACACACTGTGAGGTGATAAGAGGTGCTGTTTTAGCCTGTGAAGTTTGTGCTAAGATACTAGAGCAAGGAAAGAAAGCACTAACAGAATCTTCAGTTCCTGTTCCTTTAGTCTTAAGAAATATTTCACCCTCAGGTCCAGAAGTTTTGGTTCTTTCAACTCTAAGCCTGTAGAGACAGATGGGAATGTTTGCTTCTGAGTGAATTGTTGTCAAGTCCTAAGGGAACTGGGGCAGAGGTTTCTGATGATTCCTGGTTTGGATGCTGCAGTTCAAAGAACCTTACAGTCAGGGGATGTAAACATTTCAGTTATTCCCTGTGATGGAGAGGAGGGTGAAGAGTGACTGCTTCAGCAACATTTCTTTTCGTACACAGAAGTGTCTTGCTTGATGCTCGTTACATACTAAGACGTTTTTAGACTAAAAGAATTGATTTTTATTTTTGTTATTAAAGGAACTTAAATTTGTACTATAACCTACCTCAACCTGAAAGACCCTCGAAGAGGCCTTTCTCTCAGGAGGAGACCTCCCTGATGCCAAGGAACAGGCCGAGACCATAAGGATGCAAATCGCAAGAGGTTTATTGGGTAAACACAGGTACCTGTGGGCGGCAAGTCTTTCGGAGGACTTGTGCCTGCTGACTGGAGGGCGGGCTTTTTATAGGGAAGAGCCAAAAGCAAGTTTACAGAAGCAAAAGCGTGGTTATCGGAATGAGGCGGGGGCTCAGCATGGGTGTCAGCAAAAGTCATCCTGTTCCTATCTTATAGATATCCTGTTTTGCAGTCAACCTGCTTTGCTGATGTCCTATCTTATTGATATCCTGCCTTGCAGTCATCCTATCTTGTAGACATCCTGCTCTCCTAAGCAAATGGAATGTTCTTATGAGAGCAGGCTGGCTGCTGATCTGAGAACTTTTCAAGCAAACAGGGCGTTCCCCCGGGAGCATGCTAGCTGCAGGTTTTGAGGAAGGGGTCTGTAGGGTCTTTCAAACCCAGCACAATCCTGAACCGTGAAAGCACTGGCTTCAAATCAGAAATAAGAACTGCTCTACCACTCGAGGACTCCATATGGTGACAACAAAACCTTCATCCTAGAAGAACACAGGAAGAAGATGCACATCTGGCCTTGAAACTTTACTGTCCTGCATACAGGAGGCTGGACCTGGTCCATTATCACTGTGTTGCTGCAGATGAGGGTTCTATGAAGTGACAAGACTTACCTATTCTAAGAGTGTCCATCCCACTAATAAGCCTATTTTCACCTCACTAAGTCCATCAGGTATGTGATGAAATCATTCACATCATACCCACCCATTCTAGTTCTGTGGGATTTGAGGCAGAGATGGTAGAGAAGGCTCTCGAGGAACTGGCACTTACCTTCTTTTAACACTGGGCTTCTGTGCCTATGGTGTGGGTGGTCATTCTGTCTGTGTGTTGCTTTTATTAGTTAATGAATAAAGAACTGCTTTGAACCTATGGCAAGGGCAGAACAGAACTAGGTCGGGAAAGCTAGGCTGTATGCTGGGAGGAAGAAGGGCGGAATCAGGGAGAAGCCATGTAGCCCTGCTGAAGACAGACACCAGAACTTCAGCTGGTAAGCCACAGCCATATGGCGATACACAGATTAATAGAAATGGGTTAAATTAATATGTAAGAGTTAGCCAATAAGAAGCTAGAGTGAATCGGCCAAGCAGTGATTTAATTAATACAGTTTCTGTGTGATTACTTTGGGTCTAAGCTAGCCGGGAGGCCAGGAACCAACAAGCGGCATTTCCTCCAACAATCACATGTATATGTGTGCACCTACTATGTACCAGGCAGTCTGGGCTCTGGCAACATAGAGATGAATGAGATAACCCCATTGCCAACCTTATGAACCTCAGATTTTTATTAATAACTCACAAAATAATTACACATTTTAAAATGTTTTAAGGTGCAATAACCATCTCAATCTCTCCTGATAACGACACTTATCATTCAGCTAAATCTATAAGTTACACATCAGGTTCATTTACAACCCCACCTGGCCCAGTTCAGACCTGAAGTCTGGATGACCTGGTGCAGCTGAAGTGGTGACCTGGAGTGAATGCAGTTCAGACATTCTATCAGACTTCCTTCCGGTGGCTCTAACACTGCCTTTGTCCTATACCAGCAAGGCTCCTTTAAATGTATCAAAGCTAGCCTGACACTCCCCGCGCATCCATCATTCTCTGTGACTGTGGGTTAAGTGGGTGTGAGTCACGGTTACGCTTATGAGAATGTGCATGAGCACAGACAGAAACATTGTATGTGGAACTCAGCCTTGAGCCAGCGCTTGCGGGTGTATGTGTGTGTTCTGGTGAGTATGGGGCAAATGTATGCTATCACCCACATCTCTAGCTAGGCATCTACAGACCAATTTACCTAAGTCTCTGTGACCTAGCAAATAGGACGGCAGTTTCTGCAGGCAAGCTTTCCTATCATTCTGGAGTCACTGGAAGCTGGGAGCCCTGGGGTCAAGATGGGGCCATTATATGCCTGAGGATCCCTCCTGGCCAGCCTTTTCCTCTCCATCCTTAGAAGTTCCTTCCCCAGGCTCAGCCTCATCATCAGCCTCAGCCATGTCCTCTGGCATTGGCCACTCTCGAGTCTGCCACTCCAGTCTTTCAATGCGGTAAGCGATCTTCAGCGCACTGGACTCCAGTTCAGCTAGCAGGCGAGCAAACTTGGTCTGTAGATCATCCAGCTGCTGGTCAAGGCCTTTTAGCCGAGACTCTGTGGCCTCCTGGAGGGCGATCTCAGCTGCCTCGGCATTCACATCCAATTTATTCATTTTGAGCAGGATCTCACGGCCCTTCTCCTCCATGACGGCCTGGGCCTGTGGATACTCACTCAGCACCTCCCGCAGATCCTCCTTGCTGAGGCAGAACAGGTCTGAATAACCTAGGCTCTTGATGTTGGCTGTCCGTCGGTTCCCAGACATGTTTCCTGTGGTCCAAGGGCAGACAGATGCGGGGAGAGTAGTAAGTAGGGACAGGAAGGTGGCATTTCACTCCTGAACCAGGATACAGTCTCCACACTGGTGCTTCTGACTTCCTTTTTTCTGCTTTATTCTAGTAATGTGTTGGTGACCAAACCCTGTGCTTATTTACCTGCCTTGATAGATATTTAATGGGGCAGTTATATAACAACATGGCTGGTACATTAACTTTCTGCTGGTCTGTTGGCATTTCCACCAGTGCCCATGGAACGTATCTACTTTGTTTTCTAAGAAACCACCCCAACCACTGACCTTGGCTCATTTCCTTTTCAGGGAACAAATAATGTATACCTTGCTTCTCTCCTGAGTCCTGTAGCAACTCAGACAAAGGCCAGATCTTCTTAATCGATGTGCCCCAAAGTACCATCTTGTCCTAGGGTTCTATCATTCCCCAGCCCAGTCCCATCCCTAGCCCTTCTTCTTGGGGACTCACCTTTGATATTGATGATACTGATCTCCCCAAAGTAGAGCCCTGCACCGAGCACAGCATACTGTGTGACACCATCATCTGCCACCACAGCCAGCTGACCCTCACGGATGATGTACATCTCTCGGCCGATGTCTCCTTTGCGGCACACGTACTCTCCTGGTGAGTAGGTCTGGGGCTGGAGCTTTAGCACCAGCTCCTCCAGCAGGCTGGCTTCACAGTTCTGGAAGATCTGGACTCGGCTCAGGGTAGACAGGTGGACAGACACAGCAACCTCTGCCCGCAGCCGCTCCGGCAAGTGCTGCAAGATGGCTACCTCGTTGGTCATCTTCTTGTTGATCTGCAGATGCTGGTACCTGGGAGAAAGGCAGTATCATTTCCTTACCAGAACCTGTGTATCTGCCTCCACCCATTCCATCAGGACTCAGCTCAGCCCGGAACCCAGGCACACTGAGTTCTCATAAGGGCAAAGGGAGTACCTCACAGTTTTCTGGTCACCTTTCTTGGTGACAGACATGGCCTGTTCTACTTCCTACAAGATGTGGCGGCACCTACCCCTCCTCCACCTCCTGTCAGGCCCCACCCCAGCCACAGTGTCTGATACCACTTCTACACTGAGTTGCTTTAGTCAGCAAGCACCTGCCCTCTCAGACAGCTTTGTGGTGGCACCCTGACATTGAGACGTTTCCTTTTATTCAGAACATAGCTTGCATTATCGTGATGTAATCAACCATGTTGGCCATCTCCTAGCTGGATAGTTCCCTTCTCCACCCCCCTTTCAGAGTCTCCCGGATCCCCCCAGGCCATGGCAGCTCTCGTTCTCGGGTCTCTGTTACTCTTGTACACAAATGCCTCTTCTTGTCAGTCTTTTGCCCGCTCTTTTCCCCTAGTCCAGATCTTAGTGGAAAATACCACTCTCTAAGCCTATCCGGCAGACCTACTAATGAAGTCTATCTTCCAACTGCCTGGTATAGCCAGTAGGTAATAAGGACAGGGTCACTAAGGCATCCATCCTTTTCCCTAGCTGGGTCTGCAACCAGCCCTCTCTCACCAGTCAATGACACGCCGCTCCAGTCTCCGGTTGACACGCTGCAGCTTCATGTACTTCTTTACCAGAGCATGGTCTGGGTAGAAGGCTGCATCTGCAGTGTTCATGTTGTAAATGACAGAGCTCATGCTACCCATGATGGTGGCGAAACCCATGACAGCCAGCAGGAAGTCACCCACCATGAAGAGATACTCTTCCTCCCGGGCTGGCAGTGGTGTGTCACCCACAGTGGTCAGAATTAGAGTGGAGAAATAGAAGCTGTAGAGATACTGGCGCCGCAAGCGCTCAAAACCAGGCTGCGCGGGATCTGGGTATACCCATGCATCCCGTCCGAACCCCAGGTACCTGGACAGGGCAAAGTATAAGCAACTGTTCCAATGGATGACAACAAAGATGTAGAGCATCAATTTGGCGATGCGGAAAGCATTCGGGTAAGCTGTGCGGGTCTCCGTGCGATCAAATGCCTCAAAGAGGCGGGGTACACGGAGAAAGCGGTTTAGCCTGAGTGTGGGAATGTGGGGACCCAGCCGCACATAGGCCGCATCCGTTGGCACCAGTGAAGCCAGGTCCAATAGGAAGCTCCAGGTGCGGACATAGCGACTGGCGATCATACCTTTGTCCACCACCAGGATGCCTTGCTCTAGGAATCCTAGGTAGAAAGGAGGAGATGGGCGGGGTCAACTGTGGGCAGGTCGGGAACAGGCCAGACACGAGGGCAAGATGGAAGCATGCATAGCCTTCTCCATGGTGTCTGGGGTGAGTCCTGGGACATTGTCAAGCACAGAAACATGTGACAGTGCAGTCTTAGGGGTAGCTGCTTTCTTAACATGTTCTTTAAGGAGATGTGAGGAAAAGGTTAGCCCCAGAAACTCACTGACCTGTGTGGAAGCGCACCCCGATGTCTAGTAGGTACAGAAGGTCACTCGTGTAGTCCAGGACAAACCAGGCCACCAGGTAACTGTGCTGCAAGTCAGGAAAGCAGGCTCTGCAGGACAGGTAGCAGAAGGGATTGGCTTAAAGGTACCTACTGTGTGTGAGGAGCCTGCTAGAACAGGTCTCTCAGTCTCTTCCTTGAGTCCTTCCAGGGAAGGTGCCTCCCCTTTAGGCCCTGCCCTCCCGGCCTGCCCTTCTCCTTGGCTTCTCTTTAGTACAGCTTAAGGCACCCTCTTTTTGCACCCCTGCCAAACCTGCATACAACGATGATGAGGTTGTACATGACAGGGAAGACCATCGTGTTCAGCCACCAGTAGTAATAATCCCCAGAAGGGTCTAGGACAGGCAGCCTCTTCCTGAAGGGAGAAGAGACACCTCTGGTTTGTCCACCAGACACTCAGTGCTTGGGCTGTGACCAGGACACCAAGAAAGAGGATGCCCCAGGCATAGGCAATTAGATCTCACCTGGCTTTGGATGGGGCTGAGGGGCTGGACTCTGTTGTCTTCACTTTGTTGTCTTGACTCATTGTTCTGTGACTTGGTCCCAAGCCTGTAGGAAATCCAGTGCTTCTCTGACTATGGTGGCTTGAGAAAGTGGGGGCTAGTGCCTGTCTTCCCAGAAGAGGCTGCTCCGGGCTCCAGCTACGTATTCTGTCTTTGAAGCTCTTAGCAACACGACTAGGGCTAGCAGGTATGGAGTGGGTGGAGGCAACGTAAGTTCAGCACACTGCGCTGTCTCTCAGGGCTGAAGCTGGTTTACACCTGCCCAGCTAAACACCTTTAATGAGGTCCCTGGGGTGGTGGGAGGTGGATGCTTTGGAAGGAAGCTTCGCTTTCATTGTTGTCTTTTTTTTTTTTTTTTTTTTTTTTGATTTCCCCTTAAACCCATGGTATCAAGATCAGGAGATCCAGCCTGCCTTCAATGTAGGTTTGATTTCTGTTTTACCTTATGTACCCTCTCCATTTGGGCCTAGTTATTGGTATAACAATTATGTTCCAAGTGGCTCATTCTTGTCAGGTGGTAAACTAGTCTCTAGGGACAAAGGGGTGCCTCTCATATCAGTGGTGTTTTCATTAGCTACATCTTATCTACGTACATATCACCTAATCTTCTGGGGTATATGTGTGTCATATTATGCTCCTTTGCCCTCAATCTTTTCCTATTACCTTCCATGCCCAATACCACCAGCTATTGGACATATTTCATGGACCCTCAACTTCCTCAACTTTTTCTGTGAACATTTCTTTTTATAATAGAACAAACAGATCTCCTATAATGTCCCCATCAAGCTGATATCCGTGTCAGTATCATGATTTCAGTCAAGAAGTCATCATTAAATTCCAGCTATGTGCCAGGCCAATATTGTGCTAAGTGAGTGGGACAATCCCACGGAAGCTCAATCTTGTAGGAGGAATGTTCAGTAGGGTAGGATACATGCACAAGGGCAATCCTTGCAGAGACTGGCAAGTACTCTGTTAGATGGGTTTGTAGAGGGCTCTTATGGTAGTACGAAGAGCTGTGCTCTGTAGGATAAGTTAGAATTAAGCCTAGAGATGGGAGAATGGACAGGTAGGGTGTTCAAAGCGTGCAACAGCAGAGGCATGGAAAATTGTGGTGACTGGGAGAATATCAATAGTTTCAAAATACTTAAAAAATGTTATTATTGTATGAGAAGTGTGTGTGTGTGTGTGTGTGTGTGTGTGTGTGAGAGAGAGAGAGAGAGAGAGAGAGAGAGAGAGAGAGAGAGAAGCCAGTGGTGACACACACCTTTAATCCCAGCATATGTTGAGGCAGGTGGGTCTTTGTGAATTCAAGACCAGCTGGATTTATAGAGTGAATTCCAGGATAGCCAGGACTAGACAAGAAAACTCTGTCTCAACAAAACAAAACAGAAAGTAATAAAGAGAGACCGAGAAAGTGCATGGCCACAGTGACTATGGAGGTCAGAGGACAACTTTTGGAGTCAGTTGATGTATCTAGGGATCAAACTCCAGTGGTGAGCTGGTGTAGCAAGGGCTTTTACCTGCTGAGTCATCTTGCTGACCCCAAAATTTTCAAAAAGAGAGAGGTGACAAGGGAGGTAGTGATGAGAATGAGGATGAACGTTGGACAGAGGCCAGATCAGAGGAGTTCTAACATCCACGAAATTAACTTTGATTTTTTTATAGGCAATGGGGTAATGTCAGATTTATATTTTTGCAGTTTCTTGAAAGAAATATCTAAGTCTCTAGGAAATTTTTTTCGAGATGCTTTTATCCATAGTTTTTGTAATGTTACCATTTCTTGGTTTTCTGTTTATTTCTTAGTCTCTTTTATAAGCTTCTTTGCCCATCCCTTCTAGGTTGGTGTTTCCTAGAACTCTTAGCTCTCACTCTTTCCATCTTCCATACATTTCTGGCTGATCTTGGTCATTCAAAGAATTGCTTTGACATCTAGTAACTCATGAACTCCCTTGGGCTTCAGTCATCCACACAACTAACTGCACACTAGGTTCTGATTTGATACCCACAGCCACACTGTCTTAGCCACTGTTCTGATGCTGTGAAGAGACACTATGGCAACTAACTGCACACTAGATTCTGATTTGATACCCACAGCCACATTGTATTAGCTACTGTTCTTTCTAATGCTGTGAAGAGACACCATGAACATGGCAGCTCTTATAAATGAAAACATTTAATTAGGGTTTGCTTACAGTTTCAGAAGATTGGTCCATTTATCATCATGGCAGAGAGCATGGCAGTAGGCATGACAGGCATGATGCTGGAGAAGTAGTTGAGAGCTACATCCTAATCCTAGGCAGATGGGGGAGGGCGGCATGGACTTTTAAAACCTCAAAGCCCACCCCTAGTGACACACTTTTCCCAACAAGGCCATACTTATTAATGTTTTAAATCCTTTCAAATAGTTCTACTCCCTGGTGACTAAACATTCAAATAGATGAGCCTCTGGGTGGGTCATTCTTATCCAAGCCCCCACAGTCACTTTCAACCTATTGCATCTGTAGCTTCATCTTCCTCCACCTACTCTTTTTCTTCAACACCCATTTCTGTCCTTTCAGCAAAAAACATGGGGCCAGAATTTACTATTATGTAACGTGGGAGATATTTGCAAAAATGACCCCAATTCTTTGATGTTTGTTGCTTATGACTGCCAGCTGCTAGAACATAGAAAGACTGATGGTGTGTGACATCTGAGGCTAGACCAGCAAAGATTTGGTTGGGTCTCTGGGAATGCATATTGTCAGGATCCTCGCTCTTTTAGATCTTGTGTGAAACTCCGGAAGTTTGAGTTGAGTGCAGCCTTTCAGTTGTCCCAGCCTGGGCATAGTGCACAGGACTAAGTGAAGAAGCCTTTGGAGCAGCAGTTCTCAACCTGTGGGTCAAGACCCCCTTGGGTCCTACATATCAGATATTTATATGATGATTCACAACAGTAACAAAATTACAGTTATGAAGTAACAGCAAAATAATTTTATGGTTTGGGGTCACCACAACATGAGGAACTGTATTAAAGGGTCATTTAATTAATGCAGCATTAGGAAGGTTGAGAGTCATTGGAAGGGGGCAGGTAGCATGCCAATGGGGATATGCCCTTGAAGAGGATATTGAGACTCTGACGTTTTCCATTTGTCCCTTTACTTCCAGGATGCCATGAGGTGAGCCGCCTCCTTTGCCACATACTTGTGCCATGACATCCTTCCTCGCCACAGGCCCAAAGGCAACCAAGGGCAGAAATTTCTGAGCTAAGATAAACTTTTTTCTTTTACCTTATTAATCCCAAGATTTGTTGCAGCCATGGACAGCTGACTAGTACATACTACCGCTACCACCATAACAGCAATAAAGAACTACCGCCACCACCATAACAGCAATAAAGAAATATAGCTTGATAAATTCTCACAAACTGAGCTCACCCATCTCAGCACTCAGATGAGTGCTGCTATAGGCCTTAGAGATAATTCTTCTCCTTTCTAGTCAATGCCATTCCAGTGCTAAATATACCTTCATTTCCAATAGCAATGTTGTTTTACATGCTTTTAAATTTTTTTCTTTTTCCATTCTTCGTGGTGTGTATGTATGTGTGTGTGCGTGCACATGGTTGTATGTGAATGTGGAGGCTCCAGACTGATGAAAGGAATCATACTTGCTTGCTCTTCCACCTTATTCAATGAGACATGTTCTTTCCAACAGACTTAAGAGTTACCTTCAAAGCAGGGTACAGCTGGGCCACTAGACCCACCGGTGTTTCTGTAGGTTCTGGGGAATCTGAACTCTGTTCCTCACACTTGCTCAGCCAGTGCTTCAACCATAGTGGTGTCTCTCCAGTCCCCTTTATTGTTTTAAAATTTATATATATAAATATTTACTCCTCTCTCCTTTTATAGTCGTCCAGTCTCTAACCCTTCTGATGTCCACGTGCTCCCTTCTCTACAGTCTTACTATCCTATTTTGGCCTTGCTCTTGAAAGACCTTCTGCAAAGGTGCCCTGTTAACTTGACCTTGTATAAAAATGTATTTCTCTATTGTTCCAAGAATACAATATAGACTAACATAGCCTACTAGTTCTGCAGTACTTTCTATGTCCATTTTGTCTTTATCTGATCTTTGCTTTGCATGTTTCCAGGCTCCAGACACACTGAACTAGTTGCAGTTCTCAGTGTCTTGAGCATTCTGCCTTGCCTTAGGTCGAAATTTCCATTTTTCATTTTTTTGAATATTTTTTTTACTGTGAACCTGTTTTCGACTTACAGAAAAGTGGCAAAAATAAAATTGTAAATTCCTTACCCATGTTCTGTAATCCATCATTTTATGTAACTATTTTATAGAACAATGATCACAATTAGGTAACAATAATATGTCAACAGACTTTATCAGACTCTATCTTAGCGTTTCTCACTCTTGTGTCAGCCAGCATCTCCTCTTGGAAGCTATCCTCAGCTCCATCTTCTGTGCCCAGATATCACGCAAAGTGCTGCTTCTAGATGCTTCTCCTTTTACAGCCCTGATAGTGCGTTCTATCTGTTGGAGAGACCGGTTCTAATGGATCAGGAACCCAGGCTGTCGTGTAGGAACTTATTCGGCGTTCTACTGGGTCATGGAAGCTTTGAGAAGGCCAGGAAAAGGCGGTCCCTGCGGGTAGGAAGGAAAAATCCAAGCGGCGTGCACAAGTCTGGCGAAAATAAGCTACCTTGGTGGCAGTCAGCACAGTCTAGATGCCTTCTCCACAGGCCCTGCCCACAGACTGGCCCTTGGCGCAGACTTCAGAAGAAGCCCCGCCCACTTGACGCTGGAGCACCGCCCAGGACTTGTGGTCCCGCCCCCCGCCCTGGCCCTCGCCTCCGCCCCCTGTGGGGTGCTGTCCAAGGCCAGGTCGTTCCCGGTCCCGAAGCTTGTCCCTCCCCAGGAACAAGTTCTGCCCTCCGGTGCCAAGATTTCTCCTCAGGCCCCGCCCCTGCCCGCAGGCCACCGCCTCTTCTCAGGTCGGCCCCTATGACACGCCGGAATCCTCAGGAGGGCGGAGCCTGAGGCGGGAAGGGGCGGGGCCTGCGGGTGTGGAAGCGCTTCTTCCTCGAAACGCGGACTGCGACCCCGCCCCTGCGCTCGGTCGTTGCCGGGAAACGAGCGTCGACACTCTAGCTGGGGCCTGGGCGGGCCAATGAGCTGGCACGCCGCTGCCCAGCCGTGCGTCGCTGGGCGGTTGCGTGAGGTGCGCGGGGGCGCGGGCTGCGTGTGGCGCGGGGCGGGGCGCGGCTGGTGCGCCTGAGGAGCGATGGCGGCGGCCTGAACTCACCTAGCCCGGCCGCCGACAGGCC